ATATTTTACGCTAAAGCCAAACACTGACCACGTGAGCCGGTCGCAGTTTCACAGTTGAGGCCCGCCCATGGCACCTAGATAAGCTTCTGAAATAAGATATAAATATGCAGTGTTCATGGTATGTATTATATTATGATCCGCACAAATGCATATTATACACTATTTCACAAAGCCTAGCTACTTTGTGTATCGACCTCGCAGAGTCCTGTGTGCTGGTAGCACTATAAAGCCGCACCGGAAGGTCGTTTCCAAGATGTGGGGGACACAGAGTGCAGTGTAGTGTAAAAGATCAAATCTAGAAGCACATGAGCGCACAAGGTCGAGGTGAAGAGCGCGCCAGTTCACCGAAGCTGAAGTAACTAGAGCACAAGACCCGCCTCAAAACGGACATCACTCAACACTGTTGTAGCCACCAAGGAGCTCGGCTCAACGAGGAAAGCCCTTAAGGTTAGAACTGCAATGTATATGTCCGTGATGTTGCACAGTGAACGCCAAGTAGCTGTCGACCTTACCATGTCACCAGCGGTCGTGCTCAGCAGTCGGCAATGGCAGTCGGTCGATGCTCGAGGAAGTGAGCGTCCCAGGCGGGCACTCCTGCTGGATTATGACGGACAGGACAAAAAATACTACACTGTTTGTGTCTTGCTCGGTCTCCTCGTGATCATGCTACTGACGGGGGCGTTTCGTTTCATGGCCGGTGATGCGAGAAAGGGCTTCTTCCCGCGGCGCACTGCACCGTCGACGTCGTTGCGCTTCGTTCGCTCGCCTTGGACCACGCCTCGTAGCGCAAGACAGCTTTGCGGTGGTGGCACAGCAGACGCCGTCGGCGCAGGCTTTGACAAATGAGATGCATGGCACCGTAGCTTCTTGCCGAGTTGTGTTGGTCGACGCGGAAGGGATGCGCTGGACACGAGCGACGTCGCAGATTTGTGCATGGGCTCGGACGTCTCGCAGTAGACGACGGCGGGCTGCTCATCTCGTGGTATGCCAAAGCGCGGCCGTGGTGGCCACGAATGCAACGATGCCGGCGCTGCAAGGGGCGACGCGAACGGGTTCTCGGAGGCAAAACCAAGCGGCTCGTCCAAGTCGAAGCTGGATGCTGCGGTCGAGGTGCACACTGCAATTGGCGAGAGCGAAGGCGCATCACGTTCTAGTTGTTGCCGACTCGTGGTGGGAACGGCGTCAATGGATTGTACTTGCGAGGCTGCAAGAACGTCGATGGTAGATCGTGCGGCCACATTGGGCTGGCGTGGGCTGGTTGCTGCCTCCGGTAGCATAATCCCAGTGGAGGCGATCGCGAGCGGAAAGTCAGTTGTCAATGGAGGTGTGTGATCCAGCAATGCGTGTTGGCACGCGGCTGCTTGTTCAAGATCGAGCGCCGCTTGAAGCCGTTCAACGAGCACAATCTTCAGCCCGCCGACGCGTAGCCCACGCTTCTTGAGTGCACCCTTGAGCTCGACGACCTTGAGCGTCGATGGGTCCACCTTGATGTCATCCTTGGCCAAAACGTCGATGGTCATGGAGGATGGGTCCGTGAGACGCGATGCCAGCATTGCTCGAGTAGTGGGTCCTTTGGTGGCCACCGCCTTGGTGTGATCTACGTAGAGAGCTCTCTTTGTTCGTCGGCGCTTGCTGGCAACCTCCACAGCGGCGTCTTGTGGGCGAGAGGGCGCAGAGAAGGCATTCACATCCAAGATGGTTCGCAGCCTCGGGCGCGTCACGTCCTTCGCAGATCGTGCGCAAAAGACGGCAAGCCATGCCATGCTATCGTCCAGCAGCGCATCCAGCGCGTCGCTTGCGGTCTGCATACCGCGGTCGAGGTGCGTCTGCACGGCCCGCATGTGGTCGTCGTCCATCACCGAGGATCGCCAATGTCGCACTTATCAGGGATCCGTTCTTACGTGTGTAAGCTCATGGTGGCGTTTGATTGGTTAAAATAGAAGAATCCCATCTTCAAGGGCATTTCTCCTTTTAGTCTCATGTTGGCACGAGCAACCGTACTCGCCATGCCACGAGACGCTGCTGCCGTAGACCCGAGATATCTTGTCCCTACTAAAGCCACGATTATTAATGATGGGCTTTACTGATACCCTTCATTTGCCACAAGACGCGCCCAGTGCATGCCCGAACAGTCGTTGAGACGATCTCGTGATATGCACTTGTTTAAAACAGCAATTGTTGATCTTTTTCGATACAAATATCGAGATTTGAGATTTGTATCTTCCGCCCAAGGTGGTCTTCGATGACAATCCTTTTCCCAGTCCAATATGCAGGCCGCCCGCGCCCTGCCGCGCCGCCTCCACCGCGCTGCGGGCCACTGCCGCGACGTCGCTGCGTCCGCCCGCGTCAAGCCGGCGCCGGCGCCACCGAGCCTCGGCCTCATGGTCGTCGACGGCGCGCTGCTCCTCTTTGTCTGCGAGGCCTTGAACCAGGTCGGCGGCAAAGAGCTTAGCTTCGAGAAGGCGCTGGTACCGATGGCTCTTGGTGGCCTCATGTTCCCGCTCTATGCACGTATTGACGCCTTCTTCCCGACCATGCACAAGCCTGTCGTCTCGGCGCTCGGGAAGCGCATCGTGCTCATTAACACCAT